TGGAGTAGTGCATAAAACAAAACATTTAGAGGTTTAATAACTCCCAATCAGCTTGGTCATTTTCTGCTTTAATCCACAGGCAGCTCTTAGCAGTAAGCCTTCTTGTCCCTTATGGTGGTGGATTTAATGGGCTGCACAAACTAAGTGCTGCTAGTTTGAGAAAAAAATGTTCACCGAAAAAGTGCTATATTAATCATTTATATATCAAAACTTAGATTTTACTTTTTCTAGACTTTTATGGTTCTGGTGGATTTTGCCAACTTTCCAATAACTGTCACAGTCAACTTATTTTTTATTTTTTTCCCCACTGGTACATTGATGTATCTTTTTGGGGCTCCCCACTTATTATAGTGTAAAAACATCAAACACATGGTGCAACCATGCAGTCATAGGAAACGCTGAGATTTCCCTGAAGCCATAAATTCACAGATGCTGCAGCAACTGTTTACCATGCTTACTTTTGGATCTTCATGGGGGAGTTGACCAGAATAGATCCAAGGGTTTAAAAACTTTAGGGGTATTGCGACCCTTTAATGCATTTTGCCATATCCAAAGAATGAGTGTAACATGTTTGAGAAATACAACTTCATTCGAAGTTATTCACCAAAGCACAGCCGCATTAATCATGACGAGTTTATATCCCTTTAAGTTGTTTTTAGCACTCTTTGAAAAAGAAGCTTGTCAAAGTGGAAGTGGACATGTCAGACAAGAGAGGCAGTAGAAAATATGGTACTGGGATTTGAGATAATATATTTCTAAACAAGGTCATTCAAAATAGAATTTTCTTCAAATCATTTACAGACTAAGTCATCTCTGCTTATAATATGCAGATGCACACAGATAGATGCAGACACAAACGCTCTGACACTTGCATTAGATCAGCGATTATTTAATCAAGCTAGAAGAGTAACAGGAGGAATTAACTGGATCCCATACTGCCAGGACCAATATCCTATACGATGGATCACACACACACACACACACACACAAACACACACACATCCACACACACTTTCTTACATTCAGGTGGAAATAGGAAAAAGAAATAGAGCTGCGCAAGAGGATACAGGGATCATCTCAGATAAAGATTCACCAAATTAATCCTGTCTGTAACTTACACACAAACACACACCCCCACACACACAATCACGTTTCTCTATCCTTGCTGGGACTTTCCATGGCCTTCAGTCATTTCTAAACCATTTCCTCAACCTAACTGTGACCCTTACCGGAAACTTAACATTACAAGTTCATACCTGAGCCAATCCTATGCTAAATTCACACCTTAGTCCTAAACCTAACTCCTAACGTAGCATTGCTAAATGGCATTTGTACCCATGGGGACCAGACTTTGGCAAGGACGGCAGTCCCCACAAGTACCCAGCAACAGACACACAGTGTTGCTTTCATGTCTTATGAGGACATTTCATTAACTTATATACATTTTGTAGGGCCTAGCCCAGACCCTTACCTGAACCATTACCAACATAAACCTAATCCTAACCTGAATTCATACCTTATTGCTAACCCCTACCCCAACTCAAAGAAGACAATTGTACTATATGGGGACCAGGTGAATTTCCCCATATATACCCTGTAATGCAGGATATTTTAAAAAGCACTGCCTCCACATTGTAGGTAAAACAAGACCAAACACATACACAGACAGACAGAAGCTATCCACTCTTTATCCA